ACCAAAAGGTACAATAGAGGTAGTGAAAGGGAAAGAAACGGCTCAAAAGGAAGGAACAAAAGGGATAGGGAACAAGAAAAAAGAAAGAAGAGAAAAGAAAACATATATATAAATACATATACACAAGATAGCTAAGATAATTGTACTACAAATTTCTATTAGTTCATTAAAAGGAACAGTTTGTACTTATATTGTTCGATCAGTTTTCATGCCTATATCTGAGCCAGTACTTTGAAGATAACAATATGCAATATGGTAAACATTGTTAATTTCTTATTATATTATTTTGAAATTCTGTATCATTGCTTTTGTTTTTCCTCTTTAAAATAAAAGAACCCCAAAACACATCCATAAAAAAATAAATGCACTCCTTTGCTTCCACCATTGAAATTCCCAGTTGTTCTTTCTCTGCTCCTCTAGCAGCAACCTTCCCTTATCACAGGTCCCCTTTGGTTAATCAAAATTAATCTCATTTCTGTGGAATCCCATCTTTGTTTTAATCTCTGTTTAATGTTTTTGATCATTGGTCCTTCTAATAAGGATACTTTTGTGTCAGGTAATCTTTCGGGGTCAATAAAGTAAGAGTTCCTTGAGATAAAGGACAACTATATCTTTATCAGTCCCATTTCCTCTTTCTAAACACACAGGAAACCCTCATTTCCCAGCCTTCCTTAAAGGTAGTTGCTATGTGTTTGGGTTCTTACTGGTGGACTGGGAGAAAATCTTCCAGGACTGGTCTTTTAAAATAGCGTGAAAGAGACTCTATTTCTCTCTTCACTTTGAGGATAGAGACCACCTTCACAAAGCAGAAGGAGCCATGATTCCTGAGTAATTACTTGTAGGCAAATAGCCTAAGAGAGCTGCCAACTCACAGTAGAAATTGTGTGAGTAAGAAATAAACTATTACCAGATTAGGATGCTAAGCTTCTGGGGTTACTGTTATTGTAGCATAACCTAACTTACCTTGACTAACACAATTGCTAAGGTAGAATTGACTATATATTTTTCATTTTTTATTTCCCCTGGTGCTCAGTGCTTTGTTCATAGCAAGCTTTTATTAATATTTGCCAAATCAAGGTGAAGAATAAATAGGAAAATAATACATGATCTCCTAAGAAAAGATTGCAATTCCCTTATGAGCAATGCCTCCATTTTCTGCCTACAGGAGATTAATTATTTAACAAACATGCATTTCCGGTATTTGCTGGCCGTCTTTAGGCCTTCCTTGACTATGATGAATGGCAGAAGCAAGGAGAGTGAAAGGAAAATGGGAGGAAAGGGGGAATGAACGCTACAGGACCAAGGCTTTCCGCTTCTCATTCAGCTCTCTCTCCTCAGCCAGTCCTCTTCTGCTCACCTCTGCCAATGCTGTTCTTTATCACAGAGTGTACTTTAGAAAACTGGCCTCAGAGTGTAATTATTTGTATAGCTGGTTTGAATTCCTGGTCTGACTGGAAGCCATATAAGGAAAGAAACCAAATTAATGCTGTTCATAGTGGTTTCCAGGTACCTGGCATACATCTAGCTCACACTTGTGGTGACAGCCAAGGTAGAGAAGAACACACAAGAAGCACAGAATTTTTAAAAAGCAGTGTGCTAGCAGGTTATCTCACACTTCAAAAACTCCAAAGTCACAGTCTTACAGAGAGTAAAATCATCAGTGGTACTTCTCAAGAAAGCCAAAATTAGGTCAGCGAAATATATTTAAAAAGAGAGGACCATGACTGATGCGTTCATATAGCACAGTTTAAAAAGATGATTTCCTGTTTATAGGATAAGACTTTTAGTTAAGCGGAGAAATCATCCAACCCAAGGTAATTCCCCAAGGGTACAAAAAGTACTGTATTACTAATCATTCTTTCACCAATTCATCAGTTCACTTCTCAATAAGTATTCATTACGTGTCTTGTACACATAGGAAGAATACTTTTGTGGAAGTGTTGGAAATTCTAAGGGGTACATGGCGTGTTCTTTCAGCTTTGTCACTTATAATTGCAAACAAACAAGAAGTGAGTTTGTTTACTGCCCTTGAGATCATGTGTGTTGCTCTCCCTCCCCCTTTTTCTGAGACACCAGTGCACCTAACAGAATTCATACAAGTGACCTATTCTAAGCGCAGTCTTGATTCAATTCTTCAGTCTTCTGTCTACCCATGTGTGCTTCTACAATCCACTTCATAAAAAGATTTAATGCATTCCTCATAGTAGATATGCACTAGATGTTTGCTGTGTTTACAGAATTCACTTTTCTGGATTTGCCCTGAAACAAAGAATGTCTTTCTTTTACCAGAGTTCCCGACCAGTGTCTCCTCAATGAATCTCCTGAAGTCTGTGGGTCATACATTAGTAATACTTCCTGGGACTCCCACGGTCACCAGGATATTCTAAAGCTATTTCTATCTCATCAGTCAGATTTGCCAAAACTGCTCTCTGCTCCCTCCCCCTCCATCCTGGAGCCTGGGATCAGGGAGCCTCTGAAAGAAAGAGAAAGTTGGACCTTAGGCTTGAGAGCTGCCTATCTCAAGTGTGAAGTATATTGAACACTCCTGTTGAATTTCTTTAATTTGAGTAATTAAAATTGTTCCCTTAAGAGGTACTTAGTGACATAAAATGAGCCCAACTTGTAAGTCCTGAAAATCTAGTTTTAGTTTTTGGGGTCTGCCCCTAACTAACTGTATGACCCAGAGCAATGATCTTAACCTCTTCAGATTAGACCAGTGCATCATCAAAAGTCTCTTTTAACTGTAAAACACCTGTAAGTACATTTTCCATTCTAACAGCATGAGTCCTATAGACCACTATATTGTAGTATCTGTTCTCAGGAAGAAAACAATCCACTGATGTGGCTGTTGTGTAGAACACTGTCTGATTAATTGTCATCAGAGCAAGACAGAGCCCAGCCAGCAGCTGTCAGCTGTCCTATACGGGTCCATGAAAATATTTGATATGGCAAAGTGTTTCTCTGATGTTTCTCAATCTCAGCATTGGACTTTTGTTTCTATGAATGGATATTTAGATCAATAAGCCTTAGATTTGTATTTGTGCTAAACAACAACCTTTAATAGAAGCAGATATGAACAGCTAGCATTTATTTGTGTGTGATGATAATAAGCTGCGTCCACCTCTTCGCTCAGGTGAGTGTTGAAATTCTACGTGCCTGGACTGTGATTAGATTCCCTAATCATCTCGATGGCTATTCAGAAATTCTCTCTACTTCATAGTGTAGATGGACATCTGAAGGAGACTTTTCCCCCTGCTGCTTGAATATAAAGCAACAGCATTTAAAAATCCTTCATTAAATAACCATGTAACTATCCAGGTCATGATACAAAATAAGATGAAACAATCAATCACGTAAAGATAGGCTTTTTAAGCAATGATCACAGCTACTTCTGCTAACAGGAGCGGGGAAATCACCACCTCATTTTTGCCAAGCACAAAGTTGCTTTGTGGATAGGTTCTAGATAGAGAACTAGAGTGTTTGACTAAGTCAGAGAGGCTGCTTAGGGGAATACATCCTCAGAAAGCTGACTCATGACCAGGGACAGTCTGGGCTCTGGTTCCATGGGGATACTACCCCATCTCCATTCTTCATGGGAATCTGGCCTGGGTGCCCATCCCCCGTGAGCTTGCCCAGTCAATTCTTTTGTTCCCTGAGCCACAACCCAGACGCTGCTCATGATGCTGGCCCACCCTGGGGAGAAATCACTCCTTGTCCATCAACACCCACCGGGCCAAGTGATCAGACATCAATTACTTGGCTGAGTGAGGACAAAATAATTGAACTGGAATGTGTCACTGGCACAATTTCTCTAGCTTTGGGTTGACATTTATCTAGCCCTGCAGCAGTGAGCAATTTTCCCATGAACAGTTGTTAATTAGAATAGGGTTGTTTCCTTTAATGGATTAATACTTCTTTCTATTTCATTTTGAAATAATTTTAAAGTTTATTTCCTCTGGAGAGATATGGCACAGCTGAAGGGGAGAGTGGTAGAGGTCAGATACTGGAACTTTCTAAAGTGGGAGATTTTCTTTTCTAACAGCATTTTTCAAATGCTATTAATCTATAAAGCTTCCAGATATTCACAGTGGTATTTTGAGGGAACTCACCATCTGCCTATGTCTTGGGCATGGTGAATTACTTAGCAATGCTTTTAAGAGACAGAAGCAAACATTGTGCTGCTATTTTTCTGTTTTTCCACTTGCTGTGTAAGGACTAAAGGAGTCACACTCCTTGTCCTCTAAAGCAGGGGAGAGGTGACCCAGTGAGCCCCTAGGAGGCCACTCACACCAAAATATCAAGATAACATGAAGAGAATCATCCATGTTAGCTTTGGCCTCTTCTTCTACCTCGGAGGAGGAGAAGGAGTTGGGAATAAAAGGCTACAATATATACCTATTCCCTCTCTAGTCTTCTGTCTATAGGAAATGGTATTTTAATGGACTCAATATTTTTCTGGAATTGCTTCAAAGGTTTAATATGTATTAAGTCCTTTTATCCTCACAATAACCCTCCAGCATAAGTCCTATCATTGTCTCTGTTTCAAAGATGAGGTGGTAAAGTATTTAAGTAACATGTCACAGCTAGCTGATGGCAGAGTTAGGATCCAATCCAAACTCTCCAATGCCAGGGCACCTCCTCTTTACCATATCATGAATTGTGTACTAGTGGTAGGGACTAAATTCCAGCAGTATGGTGGGACTGGGACTCGGACTATCCATGGTGTAAAGGTCCTAGAGAAAGAACATGTACATTTGCTCCACAGTATTGACAAGGGATTGATTCTAGGACTCCCATGGAAACCCAAACCTGCAGATGCTCAAGGCTTTTGTATGAAATGGTGTGGTATTTGTACATAACCTTTGCATATCCTCCCCTGTACTTTAAACCATCCCTAGATTACTAGAACTCCTAATAGCCTGTAAATGCTATGCAAATAGTTGTTATGCTGCATTTAGGAGATAATGATAGGAAAAATGTATATGTTTAGTACAGGCACAACTTTATTTTCATTCTATAGTTGGGTGAATATAGATACAGAATCTGAAGATAGGGAATGTTGACTGTATATATCACTGAATATTCAGATATTGTCTTTTAGTTTCTCATCTCTGAGTCCTTCACTTGCTATCCCCTCTGCCTGGAAAACCCTTCCCCAGATATCCACGTGGTTGGCTCCTTTTCATCACTCAGGCTTCTACTCAAACGCTATCTTGAAAAACCACAACACCTGATCAATTAGAACACATTTCTGACCAGTGTTGGAGAGAGCAACGTTCCCGTCAGTGAGTTCTGAGTTATTCTGTGACCTCACCGGTGAACACAGCGGAAGAGCTTCTCCTCAGGGAGGCCTCTTGCCTTCCCTTCCACATTGCCAACCATGCACTATGGGGAGGTGGCTCAGTGTGAGAGCATATTCCTGTCATGGACAAACCCCATTCTCAATCTCCAGTGCTGAAAAAAAGTAAATGAAATAACATGGCACATAAGAATATTATACAAATCTGAAGTTAGGAGATAGCGGCTGGTATGTGGCTCACTGGTAAAGCATTTGTGTAGGATGCATGAAGCCTCTTGATTTCGCAACAAAAAACAAACCCACAACCGCCCCATCTGCCCCATCATCTTTGATACTGTTGCTGTGATTTGCTATGAGGCAGGTGTGGCCACCTGAATAATCTTGTTTATTTATTTCCCCACAAAGATGGGAGCTTCCTGAAAGCAGAGTTCTGGGCTGTTCACCCATTACTCTCTGTCCAGTGTGCACAGCAGTGCCAGGCTGGGGCAGGGCATAACGTCTGCTTGTGGGAAGGTTGTGAGTAGCAGCAAGGTGCAGAAAGTACCTGAGAAGAGGGCGCTGGGTGGGCCTGGAAATGCTGCTTCCATTTTCCTCTTCACCTGGGTTTAGCTGACAATGGAGACTGGTAGGGAGAAAAGATTTAAGTGTTAGAATAAATTGCTGCTGGGCCTCCCTTCATAAATATGCATAAGTCAAAGCAGCTATGAGACTGCAAAATGCTTCATGAATCAAAAGAAAATTGTGTTACATTCTTATAGTTTTAGAAGTCGTATGCATTTTTTCTATTCTTTGTAAATTGTTCTCTGTTTAAGGCATAGATAGCATTGATCAATCACAGCATTTGCCAGATTAAAACAATTTATTTCTCGTCAGCTGGATGGTGGTGTTTCTTCAAGGCCATGAGTTGTCTCTGCTCCACCAGGAGCTCGGCCAAAGAGTAGAAGAGCACGGCAGGCCTAGCTGGCCCTCTGCACCCCTCACTCCTAGGTGACAGCTGAGTTTCAGAGGCCTCTGCATGACTAGCGCCCCTCCGCATGCTGCTCAGAGCAGACGAGGAGCACGGGCCTCTGACCCCCAGGAGCACTTCTCTGCTCCACACCACACTGCTCAGCCTCCTCGCTGAGCACCTGGCTCAAGATTTCTCCACTGGGCCAAAGAATGCTCTGATGTTTTTCTTCTAGCACATACTTGCTCATCCACACTCCCAGACGCTGGCCTGTCTCATGGGATTTCCTTTATGCAGCACAAATATCCAGGGGTCCAACTTCAGCAGCTCACACTTCTGCCACCGAAAATCACTTTGGTCTCTACTTTTACTCTCTAAGTCCAGTAAGACCAGGAGCTGTGCTCCACAACCTCAATCCATTACAAACACATGAGTCAGTCAATGAACTTTTTAAAAGTCTGAAAGAGAAGACTAAATATTGCTTTTTCTTTTTTAAGTTCATCCCAAAGTTGAGAGTTGGCCAAAGAGATCTCTAGCTAGTTACCTCTTTCCTAGTTTTGGATTAAACTATATTTGATTTGATTATATAAGGAAAAGGGAGCAGAGACTTTGGCCCGAATAACACGTCACATGGATATTCTTATCTAAGAGTGTACATAGGGGTATTTTTTCATCCCTAAAATAAGGTCAGTTCACATACACACATAAAACATGCCAGCATGGCATGTGGCCTCTTTCTCCAGGCCCTTTGCCCAAAGATGTAGAGCTGACAGGCCAGCTCTTGCTGGCTGCAGGTGGAGAAAGTCCAGGCTTCCCAGGAACTACAGAGCTGCTCTGTCTTGCCTCAGTGTGGCTCACAGGCTGTCATATAGTCACAGTTCTGGCTAAGGGTCCCTTGGCTTCAGAGATCTGAGGAATTAGAGACATAAGTTTTAACTTTTGGTTTTCTGTGCAAGACTATGAACAGACCCTGGTGGCTACCCAGAAACACCTTTGCCCTCCACAGTTCTGAGTCTAACCTCTTGTGGTCCTCTGAGGACTTCAGGGGCTATTGAGATTTTGAGTTACACCTGGGCCCTCTGATGGACCTAGGAAGGCAGTGCAACTTGGATTCAGGCATCAAAGTTTCCAACCTGAAATCAGGACCAATAACCTGGAACTGGGTCTGGCAATGGGTTTATCCTGAACAACTGATCACTACTAGTATCTCTGTGATCACTTATTGGAAACTCCAGCATACTGGCTGAGCAGGAGTAGGCATGGATGTGAACTCTGAGCAGGTCCTCTGTTAACAGATTTCCCTTGGATGGACAGCTGCTGTGGTAGACAGAATAATGCTTTCACCACCCCCATCAGAAATGTCCATGGTTTAATCTTTGGAGCTTCTGACTTATGCTACCTCTCACACAAAAGGAATAAAAAGGATGTGGAAAAGGTAACCAAATTAAATATCTTCAAATAAAATGACAGGGTTACACTGGTAATTGAGGGTTACGCTTGTAATTATGAAGTTTGTGTTAGTCAGTTTTCCATAACTATACCAAAATGCTAAGATTATGACCTTATAAAGAGAAAAAGTTTCTTTTGGCTCACAGTGTTAGAGGTTTAAGTCTGTGATTAGTTGGCTCTTTGCCAAGAAGAAGCACATCCTGATAGAAGCAATAGTAGCTGAATGAATTAATTGTTGGAAAGTATTCAAAGATCTTCAGTGAAGGAGCAGGGACACAAGTTTTGCTGAATCATCCCAATGAACTATCACTCTGTGAAACTTCATAAGCTTCATGGCAATCACAGTAGGAGAAGGGCATTATTATTCTACCCCATACTACACGTGTGAGACAAACAGACCGCATCTTACAGAGTTAACCAAATATAAAGTAGGAGTTCTAGTCAAAACATGATCTAACATAATGCATGGTCCTCACTAGTGTGGGTTCACTCTATAGGCACATTTCACTAATCTGAATTCAACCTGAGAGAAAGAGAAGGAGACTGAGAATACACTTAAACTCATATATCATGGTTGCCATGAGATCTTGGCTATTCCACTATATAGGCATTTACCCTGTGTGCTTTTCATAGTATGAGCATGTTTGCAGACTAAAAATGAGACTAGTGTTTAAAGAAGCACATTATTTTCCTACAATATGACCTCCAACTGAAAGACAACTATATTTGAAATTCAAGTAAAGAAACATTACAAGCACTGGAGAAAAACTAACTGTATTGGACTTGAATTGTTCTTGATTTCTCTTTTTTCCACACCTCATGTCTAATCCACAGTGATCCCTGCCAATTACCCCTCCACAACAGGAACTTATTTTGCTGCTGCTTCCCACCTCCTCCATCACCCTGGGTCCAAGCCTCCAGCATCTCATTCCTGCAGAGTTACAAAGCATCCTAGATGGTCTCCCTTCTTCCCCTTCCTTTCACCCAGTAGCTGAAGGCCATTTCCCCTAAAGCTGTCAGGAAGATCTTGAAAGGGGATATAGCTTATGACCTGACTTCACTTGAAATTCTCGCAGTACACTTAGAGAACAACAAGCCCTAAATGATCAAATTCCCTGCCCAACTTCCTGGCTTCTTCTTGGACCATCCTCCTTCAGGCTGCCTTATTTTGGCCCATTCTCCCCATGAGAGCTTTATCCCAGTTACTCTTTCTGTCTGGAAGCTATTTCCTTTAATCTTTGTACAGAGGCTCCTTGTCACTCAGAACTCAGCTGAAATGCCACCTCCTTGGAGAAGCCTTTTCTTATCCTTCCCTGACCCTGCTGAAGTCTTTGAATAGTGCTTAACATTCACTGCTACGTGATGACTGTCTCCCACCAGCAAATACCAAGTCTTCTGAGAACATGAACTTTGCCTCTCTCAATCACATCTGTAGCTCCAGTTAAAAAAAAAAAAGTTGCCTCATATACACAGGGGACTACTAAGGGATTTATCAAGGGTATAACTAACTGTATTTCTAATTTTTGCTTATTTGCCCATTTTGGAACCTGACTGAAGGGAGAAAGAGAGTGACTCTGCCATATAAAAGATGAAGAAATTAAAAGCTAAAGAGCATACGTGATCACGTAGATACAAATAGTACGCTGGATCACCAAGATCACGTAGCTACAAATAGTAAGCTGGATTTTAAACCCAGGCCTGTCAGAATTTAATTCACAGGCTGTTCCCACTGGCCCAGGGAGTCTTAGACGTTGAGAATGGTAGCACTGGACGAGAAAGAGCATTTCAGCAAACAGCCATAGGAGCAAGGGCTGGCTGGTCTTCACAGTGGAGAAAAACCGAGAGCCGCCATAAGCACAGCTCAGACTTGGGCTCACACAACCCCTCAGCTGAGTGATCTTGCAGGAAACTTAAGTTCTCTGAATTTCTGCTACTTTTACTGGAAATAGGGACTATAGCATCTATTTTCATTTCATGAGATACAATGTTTAGCAAGGTGTCTGGCACACACTAGCCCTTGATAAATAGTAGCATCACTGTTATCAGTATCACCTGGACAAATTTTGCACCTTCACAGTTTTCTTTAAAACCACATGAGGGGCTGGGGATTTAGCTCAGTGGCAAAGCACTTGCCTGGCAAGTGCAAGGTCATGAGTTCGGTTCCCGGTACCAGAGAAAAAAACCAAAAAATAAAAAATGAATAAAAAATAAAAAATAAAAAAATAAAACCACATGAAATCCTGACTCTCCCCGAGGTGAGTCAGAGGGTCTCCTAGAGGGACCAGTTGCTTCTCCCTGAGCACAAGCCTCAAGTGCTTGGGAGCCAAGAGTGCACGCATCTTTGGTGGGCACAGGGGAAAGGGTCCAGACTTATCCACATTTAGCCTGAGAGAAAATAAAGTGAGTCTCTTTCAGAACAGTCACGGAAACCCTAGTATGCATGGCTGGTAACTCCGGCTTGATGTTCACCACCTTCTCCCCCACCTCTGATCCCACAGCAGCCTGTGGTCTTTGCACATCTGTTAGAATTTGGGTGTTAGAAAACTCTGCTTGTAGTGATTTGGAAATCTGTCTCACATTTGCTTTCTATTGGCTTTTTTGACAATTTAGAGCAAGTGAAACTCCCTAGCCGCTGTTCTAACATCTGAAAGCAGCTCTGTCCTTCCTTCAGGCTAACCCCCTAGCTCCTTCAGGTTCAATTTCTCTTACGTGAATAATCTTGGGCCCTTTCAGTAGTTTGACCCCTGTTTCTAGTGTTAAAGGACAGAATGACAACAAATCCTGTTTTGTAGATTTTAATTGGATTTATAATTCTAGAATTGGGAAACATTCTGCACCAAAATTGGCTCAGAATTGCTCTGCCCCAACACACCCACAGGTTGTACAGCCAGAGAAGAGAAACTGATGTACAGAAAATGGCAGCCTGATTGGTTACAAGCTCATGTTTGTTTCATTTGAACATGGGTTGAAAGATTGGCTGCTTGTGATTGGCTGATTTTGTTACACTATTAGGATAGAGTCTATATACACATCAAGTTAGGTTGTAGTTCATTATTTACAGGAAGCCTTTAGGACAAACTTAAAGAGAGGCAACTTTAGGCCAACTTAACACTAGTTAACCATTCTGTGCTCGTGAGATGATCTGATGTGTTGTACACTCTGCATTAAACAGAGTGGTATTAAAACACTCCTCCTACCCACAAACTTGGAAAAAATTTTAGCTGATTGTCCCTCAGACAAAGGGCTTCTATCTAGAATATATAAAGAATTAAAAAATTTCAGCCCCTCCCAATTCAACGACCCAATCCAAAAATGGGCAGCTGAGATGAATACACATTTCTCAGACAAGGAGATACAAATGGCAAATAAATATATGAGAAAATGTTCAACATCATTAGTCATTCGAGAAATGCAAATTAAAACAACACTAAGATTCCACCTTACCCCAGTAAGAATGGCTAGCATTAAGAAATCAACCAATAACAAATGCTGGCGAGGCTGTGGAGAAATAGGAACCCTTCTCCACTGCTGGTGGGAATGCAGACTGGTGAAACCACTGTGGAAATCGGTTTGGAGATTCCTCCGAAAACTAGGTTTAGAGGTCCCATTCAACCCAGCTATCCCCCTGCTGGGTATTTTCCCAGAAGATCTAAAAACATCATATCACAGTGATATATGTGCACCTATGTTCATAGCAGCACAATTTGTAATTGCTAAAATGTGGAAGCAACCCAAATGTCCATCAACCGAGAATTGGATAAGAAAATTATGGTACTTTTATATAATGGAATATTACTCAGCTATAAAGAAAGATAAACTCGAGGCCTTTATATTTAAATGGTCACAACTAGAGACCATACTCATAAGTGAAATAAATCAAACATACATGTGCAAGCACCGCATTGTGTCACTAGTGTAAAACTTGAAAGAGTTAATTTAAACTCGGAGGTATGATAGACACTGTGAAATGATAGGAAACCAATGAAGAGTAAAGGGCTTCTGGGATGTGGGAAAAGAGAAGGGAAAGAAGGAGAAATTTTGTATGTATGTATATACAGGATGGTTAACATGGTTGTTCTTCTGTCTTCTGTTTCTATGCTGAAAGAAACTGTCAATGAGTCTTTGGTTGACCAGTATTGCATGTTTATATCTGTTTTGACGAGAAGCCACTTTGAAGATATCAATATGTAATACAACCACCATTGTTAATTCCCTACCACTTTGTTTGTAACTCTGTGTTGTCTGTATTGTGCTTGTGATATATTGTAAAATGTTGTATGTCTGTTAATGTTTCCCTCCTTTTATCTTCAAAATTAAAAAAAAATAAATAAAATAAAACATTCCTCCTATATTTCTCTTAGAGCAGCTCAAGACATTTAGGTAACCATTTGCTGTTAAGTGAAATTCTTTAGTCTATCTTCAACACCCTTCCTGTCATACTTGGCAATTTCAGAGTCAAGGAATATTTTGGGAGGATTTGATACCGTAGAGTTAGTTAGTTCCACCTGCACCCTGATGGACTCTGGTCAACCAATTCTGATGCTGCCAACACTAGATAGAAGCTGGGACCTCATCAGGACCTTGTTCTTGGAGTAGGGTCAGTGACTGTGGGCCAAGTACCAAAACCTGGGCTAGCTGGCAGGACTGTATTCCTCTGACTTGAGAGATAAGGGCATCATTGGAAATTCTGCAGTGCTAGGGGTTTCAGCCAGGGAAGGAAATTAAAAACCAAAGCATTAACCTACATGTTAGTAATAAGCAAGGCATACCTATTACCTTGGAAGAACTCAAGCCTTCTTCAGTGCAGATACTTACCAACAAAGATTTTAGCACATAGGTACTATATCCAGAATACTGGGAATAATGCAGACAGACTCCATTACGGGAGCTAAAAATTAAGGTAGTGGGATACACAGCAGTCCCCAGTAATGGGAAAACCAAGTGCATGTTGGGAGTCAGATCTGGAGCACTGAGGGCAGAGACTGACAGTGATGATCTTCAATTTTAACAACTTATTTCTTATACACTGCAGTCTCACCTCTAGAGCGAGAGAAAGTTAGAGGCATGAGGGACTCGAGTTTGCCCATGTTCTCTGGCTCTCCCAGTGGATCCCTGTCTCTCACCCTCACCATTGAGTTTGTTACACATGGCTTGTTCAGGTGCACATTGTTGTCTGATGTTCTTTATCAGTAATGGATGGTATAGATGTAAAATACAAATTAATTTATTTCCATTCTCTATTTCTTCTGTTTTATATACTGATATCATAATTCTTGCCCTTGTCTTCAACTTAAAATCAATGTTCTTTGCATGCTGTGCTTTCTCTTCATAACTTTGGCTACAGCGATAAAGAAGTTGTTACTTGTGTACTGATTTATTTAGACTGGGAGGTCTGTGAAAAGGGAGCTACATTTATCTTCTTTGACATATTCCCTAGCACAATGTCTAGCATACAGTTGTTCATAAACTTTAGATGAATGAGGAAAATCATAGCTGGAGTTGGAGCTCCACTTTGGGGTGAAGGTTTCTCCACTGGGCCCTATGTATAGCCCTGGAGTTAAAAGATTTACCATCTGCCCCACTTCTTTTATTTAACTTTCTTGGGTTTAAGTGTCTATCAGCCATTTCCAGCCACTTGACCCAACCCAGTGACTCATTTTGCTTGTTTCCTTCTCCATTTTTGAATCCAATCTCTTCCATTTCTGTCCTCTGGCTTCTGATGTGGGCCTGGCTTTCTTTCTTAATGGCTACTGGTCACTACTTTTTCTTGATTTGTTTTCTTCCTGTCTAAGCTGAGCGTTCCTGCATTCTGACACTGCCAGTGTTGGCTTGTCTCTTCCTTATTATGTACCTGTGAGATCCTCTCAGGCTCCTACTGAAGTTTTCCTGCCAATCAGGCCTCACTGAAAAGCTGAACTATACAGCCTGTCTGTCTCTGTAGGCTTTATGTGATAGAGTGAAGGTGAGCTCTAGTCAGCATTTATTTACATTATATTATACAACTCCTTCTTCTCCAAAATTCACAGTAGTTTTTAAGGAAGGAGGTGTTTCCTAATATATAGCAAAAGAGACTGCAAATGATCTAAAGCAAGGACACCAGGACATGTATGGAGCTAGTCGGGAGAAACAGGCTGTCAGGGCAGTGTGGACAAGCCACTTAACCTCTGTGAGCCATGGCTTCCAAATTTGTAAAATGAAGGAGTTTGTTTCTCAAGTCCTTTACAACTTCTATGATTCTAGAATATTTTGAGCTTTTCAGAAGAGAGTTCTTTATGGAAATACTAAGAATAACTGCTAAATACTTGTAGCTAGAAGTTAACTGGGCACAAACAGAACCCTGTGTTTCTTCATAGGCCAAGTTGTATTTATATATGTGCTTCTGACAAAGTAGGTATTGGCTTTTTAGACTTTTTTAATTACCCTGAGACAAGTGTATTGACATAGTTCTCAGAACAATATTAAGAGGAAAGGGAACTGCTTATGATTCTAACAATCTTGGAATAGGTTACTCTCTCTTTGGTATTTAGGTTGACATTTATTTTCTTTTTCAATCAAATTGATTTAAAGATCATTATCTCCAAAATGCATCAAAGTGTAACTGCACTGACTATTTTGGCTCCACTCAGCTATTGCTTTGCAATTCATCTTTAACAACCAAATGTACCTCATGTACAGTACAGAAAGGCTGAGTTTGAACATTAATCATGCCTTTCTGAGGAAATTTAATGTCTACTTCAAATGCAATAGAAGCAAAAATACAGGATAAAAAATTTGCTAATTGGTAGTGGCTGATTTGGAGCTACTTATTTGAAAGAGTGAATGTCTTAAGACGTAAAAATGGTTCTACTGAATTGCATTGTATTAAAAATGGGGAACAGTGTAAATCAATTCCCACAAAAAAAAATAATACTTTGATTCACAAATGTTGTTGTCTGGAAACAATTTGGTTTGCAAATAAAAGCATTTGGCAAAATTTTGCTTCTGTTCTCAAACTGTGCATAGTTTGAGAAACATAACCACGGCCATCTTCCCCATGCAAACACAAATGCAGCCATATTCCTCAAAATCATAAAACAAATTAAGTTTGTAAATTAGGGTATCACTGTATTTCCATTGAAAATATCTCCCAGAAAGGTTACACCTTGCACAACAGGGGTTAATTGTAAGATTTAGGTAACCTAAACGTTTTTAAGAGCCCACCCAAAAGCAGAGAGAATCTTTTGGAATACAAGACTTACTGGTTCCAAATAGGGCATCTTTTATTTCATGAGATCAATAGTCCAAGAAAAAAAAAATAAAAAGAAAGGAAAAAAAAGAAATCTTCTGTTGCCTGGGAATTTAAATATTTTTGGAAAGCTATTTTTTTTTCAAAATCTATTTTTTTTTTTTTTTTTGGTCTAATTGAGTTTCAAAATCTGAGGGAGAAGGGATAGGATTTGTACTGGAGGTATCACCTCCTGCCATCTTTGCTGAATGTATGTCATAATATTAATATGTATTTAGTTGAAACTGTTGCAACTAGCCATAAATGAAGGCACTTTTCCCACAGATTCTCAGCTGAGCTTGTGTTGCCAATCTTATTTCTTATAACTAAACAGCTAGTAACCATTTTGGGGCAAAGAAGAGCTTTGTCTGACAAAACAACAGTGATGAATAGACGGTGATGAATAGATCTCATATCCCTGGAGGGCTTCCTACTGTGAGGAGTTTGTACTTTCAGTGTCCAAACCCCTCGTCTCTCAACCTCCGTCCTCCCCAGCTTTTGGAATTCTTTCTGTTCCCATAGGTCATTCTTCCTTCAACCGAGTCTTCAAACCTGAAATCCCCAAGCCTAGATTTGTGACACTAGCTATCCTAAGGAACTTCTGCCAGAAATCCTCATTTATGCAAATGAAAGAAAAAGAATTTTTTTTCTTTCAAATGTTGAATGCTGTAGGAAGGACTTAAGAAAGCATATAGAAGTTTAGAAAACCAAACAAAGTTAACACACAGCCACACTAAATACAGTGGAAATCACTGAGTTCTGCAAATGTACTGTTAGACTGAAAAACAACCTGGAAACTAGGAAAAGACACTATATCAAAATGCAAGGCATAGCACAGTGTGATGGCTGTTCATCAAAATCTACCTGCTGTGGTTTAGTTTCTATCTCATCACTGAGGCATAGTACCTGACAGCCATAAATTTAAGGAGCAGAGGTTGATTTTGGCTCACATGTCAGACCACGGTTGACCAGCTCCAAAGATGAAACAGTGTGGCAGAGAGATGAAGCGGAGGAAATGCTGCTTATGTCATGGAAGCGAGGAAGCAGAGGAAGAAGGGAGCCTGCAGGGAGATGTACACTATCAGTGACAGTGACTCACCTACAGCCAGGCCCCACCTCCTAACTGCAAGGCAGCTATAGCGCCGCATGATTGAATCACTCTCTAATGCTCGGCCTACCTCGTCATACCCTGTTTTTCCATGGTGATGGAGATGTGTGCGCTTGCTGTGCTGCCAAACGGACACCACATCGCCGTGAGGCCTCCTAGCGCTGGCTGATCCTGTGGCCACACTCTGCCCGATGGAAAGGAAGTGTGCTACTTGCAGACAAGCCTGTAAGGTCTTCGAAGTGTGCACCTCCATATTCTTCCCCTTTCCTGGTAGTTGCAATCTGGACAACACACCAATACACCAAGGAAAATTGTTAGAGTTGGAGAAAAAACAAGACAGAAGAAAACTGGGCTCCAGAAAGCCTCCTACACATCTGTAACACCCCAGGATGCACACACATGCACACACACACACACACACACACACATTAGGTGAGAGACAAATCAACCTCTATCTTCTCTGAGCCATGGTGTTTTGGATCTCTTTGTTATAATAGTTATGATGCTAAATAATAATTTAGGTGTTGCTCTTTGGTAGCTGAATCAAATGCGTATATTGAATTTTGTCAATAACCTTATCATTGTTCCCTTGGTGAGAAGTCCATTGCAGTATGTCTATCTCTGAACGTGAGTCCTACAAAGACAGGAACGTTGCCTCCCCTGTACTCACCCTTTGTACAAAAGCAATAACCATGTGCCAAGCACAAACATCACTGCCAAGTAGTGCTCTGCAGAGATGATGGTGATGACAACTATCATCAATTTTTATGAAGCAAATTGTATTGCCTCATCTCCTCTGTCCAACTGCAGACTTGGTTAAGTTCAGCAGGAAGGAAACTTGATGGTAACCTCATAGGTTCTCAGTGCTGGACTGCAATGGATAATGACACTGGACTCAAGCGTATCCTTGCTCTCTGTGTTACTCAGCTTCCTGTTACCATGACAAAATACTTGCAATAACCAAAGGAAGAGAGATTTGTTTTGGTTCATCACTGGTGTCACTTTTCTTGGGCCTGTGGCAAAGCAGAACATCACTGTAGGAAGCACTTAGTAAAGAAAAGCTATTCACATCATGGTGCCCAGGAAGTGAAAGACAGAAACAGGAAGGGGCTGGGGGTGTGATATCTCCTTTATGGGCACACACCAGACACACCAGATGACTTAACTGCCTCCCTCTAGGCACCATCTCTTAAAAGCCCAAACTACCAAAAACAACAAACTTAGGACCAAACCTTTAACATATGGGCCTCTTGGGAGCATTCCAGTTCCAAACTATGGCAGTCACCTTTCTCCAAGATGCACATTCTGTTCTTGTTGGCTTCTCTCCAGTGGCAACTTCTCCCACAAAACGAGTGATTAGACTGTTTCCGTGAAGTTCTCAGTAGAAAATTAGTGTGGTCTTGTAACAATGTGTGTTCTGTGGTTGCACTGGATCTTTCCCATCCAGGAAGGTCAAACTACAACAGTAGCTAAAAAGGTATTAGAAAATGTGTTTCCTTTGTGGGTTATTCCTGGAGAAATATCCAGGGTAAAGGCATTCATGTCACCAGATTAGTTATAGAACAAATAAGGTGTTACAACACAATGACATTACTACTTCCCCAGATAGCTTTGGTCTTCTTCAAAGATTGAGAAGATGAGGACATTTCCCAAAAACTGAAATTGACAGTTCTAAGTCTAGTGGATTGCCTTGGGCAAAGGTTAGCACTGACCTTCATGACAATCAGACTTACCTCCACTGGATACACAAATTAACATACTCTGGAAGAAACAGTTACGAAGCAGTCCTTGGAAGACCTATGCCTCTAATAATAGAACCTCATGTATATTCTGTTCTTATAAACTCCAACATGACTCAGTGTCACAATATTTTAATACATGATGCCAAAGAATATTTTCACCAGGTAAAATGAAAAGCCCTTCATGACCCACCAACTAATGATGATCGGACATTTTGCAATCCATGACCTGGAGATTGGCTCTTTTGAAGACAATGCCAGAGAAAGACTGCCCTTGAATCTGTTGAAAGGGATGATGCCCAATTCTCACCATTCACCCTGCAGCAACACTTCAAGGCCTTGGACTTGGTCCACATCTCATTGCCCAAAAGAGCCTTACAAACTCATGGAAATATACACCTGTTGGAGACTTCAACATAAAACTGTCCAGAAGCAGATGACATCCTAGACATAGGTAGCTTTCCAAAGATCACAGATTAAAACTCCTCTATAATCACAAAACTTTTGTTGCTCTTCTTTTCCATGTGTCTTCTGTTTATGTGGGGAAAAATAATGCTATGATTAGGATTTCACAATTGATAACTTCTGCAAGGAGCCCACTGGAATGTTTGATATACCATATTAAACCCCAGCCCCTACATGATCCTAAAGATCTCCTAGAGAAGGGGAGGTGGGGAAGGGGACAAGAAAAGGAATGAAGATGTGCCGTGTGCACGCACTAACTCCACGCAAGGAATGTGATCATTATCTACTGCAGACATGTACAAATAGAGAAATAAAAGCCATACCTTTTAAAGAAAAAAGATAAATTGCCTTTGAATGGAAGCCTGACCAAGCTGACCAAGACTAAGGCTGATCTTCATCCTGTAATTGATTTCACTTACATTACAAGTGTGACAATTTAGTCAGATTGCACACTTGGCCACTTGGCCTTTTCTATAGGTTGGGATTTGGGTCCACATTTTCAAGTCCTTTTAAAAATCTAGTAGCAGATAAATCATGTAAAGAGGGTTTTGCAGTTATATAATGCCACAACTGAACAAGAAAACCAAAGAGAAAGATACTTTGAGTTTCAAGAAAAATTCACAAGCCTCCATATTGTTAGTAGCCTGTGATAAATATGACTATTGCTTCTCCTTTAGTGACCTTCTGCACAAGATGTTTCAAAGGGAGCAGCTGTGCCCTTCAAAGAGATATTTGTATCTGGGGAAGATTCAGTGAACAGCCATGTACTATGTCCAATAAGTAGAAAATAAGAGGCCAACATGGATTAGGAGTTCCAATAGAAACACTGTCATTCCAGAGCTAAACTGATCCTTGATCTACAACTCTTAATATAAACTACAGATTAAAGGATTTTCAGAAGGAATAAATCCTTCCAAATGGACAACTTTTCATAGAATGTTTCCTCCCTGCTTTGGTATGAATACAAATTTAATAATGATTAGAAATCTCTTAAACATTAGTCACTATAACTGATTCTGCTGCAAAGCTTATGGTTGTATAACAAGCTTTTTCATTCCTTTGCTACACGTTGCTGTAGGTGACAAAATTTCTTTGAATTCTCAGTTGGCTGAATGGGAAGAGTATGAGTGATAACAAACACCTCTTGCTGCCCTTGTAGCTACAGATCTGTTATTACAGAAACAAGGTTACAAGAAATCAGCAAGCAGATTATAGTTAAAACAATTAGATCTGTCTTCTGGCTCATTCTTTGATTTATTTAATTTTAGTTGGTTAGGTGCATGCTGCCTTGGTTTAGGAGTTCTTCTGTTTTGGAAGCATATCATGCAGCTTGGTATTGTCATCCTGAAAGTCATCATGATAGTTTTCCCTGGTGCACTCTATTATTTACATTCCTGTAATCACAGCACTCTAGGAGGCTGAGGCAGGATGATCTGTCTAGCCTGGGCAACTTAGTGATTTAGCAACAGTCTGCCTCAAAATTTAAAAATAAAAGAAAATAGAAGATGTAGGTCTCTGAAATATTTACACACAGTCATCCACTGTGTATGCAGTGGTCTCACCCAAGGCAGAATGACAAAAACCGTGAACAATAAAAGGAACCACTCAGTGAGCCCAATATTGTGACTTGAGAATTCTACACTGAGACCAGATGAGTGACCAAATCCTGGGACTCTAATGGTCTCAGACAGTGCCATTAATTCCCCACCTGTGGATCAAATTTCAAGACTAAGGTTGACCAAAAGGGAGAACTGTTAAAGCAAATAAGAAGTCTCTTAGCTTAAGGCTGTCTCTCAACCAGAGCTCTTGTGTAACTAACCTGGAACACAACTTAGAAATGTTCATTTCAAGTTACTTTTTTGAAAAAAGCCTTTGAAAGCACGCTGTTCGCATTGTGGAGCGGAGCTCTTGGAATTTCTTTTGGCTTCAAGTACTACTCAATTCATGAACTGATCTTTGCCCATGCTCTCTTAAATTTTATTTGTCTGAAGCTTTTCTTTTAACAGTATGCTCTTGTTGATTCGCTTCTATTTTTGTCATAATGCAATATACATTTCAAATTAATAAAAATTAATATAATTTGAGATATCTTAAGGTAAAATGCCTTTGAGGCCAAAAATGTACACTGAAGGAAATATAGTCTGGGGAAAATGGGAGATTCATTCCAGTATAGAAGATTGAATCTATCTTGAATCTCTCGCCACATATTAAACTAAAATCTAAATAGATTGAAGAACCAAATGCTAAAATAGAAATAAACTACTGGAAGACAAAACAGGTAAAACTCTTGAAGTCATAGGCATAAGTTTCTAAACAGAAACCTATGAACCCAAGTTACACAGGAAATAGTACTAAGAATCAGCAAATGTGATCATACCAAATTTAAAAGCTTCTGCACAGTAAAAGGAACAACCAACAGAGTGCAAAGACAACCTACAGAGTGAGAAAAAAGTGCCAGTCATTCCTTAGACTGAGAACTAATATCTGGAATCTATAAAGAAACCTAAAAAATTAGACTCTTTAAAACAAAAGATCTAATAAAAAATGGATAAGGGAAATGAATACTTACTTCGCGGGAGTGGTATAAATGGCCAATAAATACGTGAAAAAACACTCAACATCTCCAGCCATTAGAGAAATGCAAATTAAAACAATAATGACATTCCACCTTGCCCCAGAAAGAATAGATATCATGAAGAAATCAAATAATAATACATGCTAGTGAGGCTGTGGGGAAAAAGAACCCCTCCTCAGTATTCCTAGTAGGAATGTAAAATAGTAAAACCATTATGGAAATCACTACGGTGATTCCTCGAAAAACTAAAGCAAAAAATATCATTTGTCTCAGCTATTTCCCTGCTAGGTATCTTCCCAAAAAAGTTAAATACATAATACTGCAGTCATGCATGCATACCCATCTTTATAGCAGCACAGTTCATGATGACTCAATCTTGGAAGCAGCCTATATGTCCATCAACAGGAGACTAGATAAAGGAAAAGTGGTGTTTACACACAATAGAGTACTGCTCTGCCGTAAGGAAAGATGAACTTGAGTCATCTGTGGGAAAATGGATGCACTTTGAGTCCATAATGTCAAATGAAATGAATCAGATACACACGCTTAAATATGGCATTGTTTCTCTCTTACGAAAAACCCAAATTACAAATAAAGAGCAAAATAAAAGACAAGACGAAGTAGGGGGACAGACCTTTCTCACATGGGAAGGGACTCAAGAGAGGGAGGGATGGGGAAGAAGGGGAGGTGGGGAAGGGGACAAGAAAAGGAATGAAGATGTGCCGTGTGCACGCACTAACTCCACGCAAGGAATGTGATCATTATCTACTGCAGACATGTACAAATAGAGAAATAAAAGCCATACCTTTTAAAGAAAAAAGATAAATTGCCTTTGAATGGAAGCCTCCTTCTCTGTACTTTGAGGTCTATAAGACACTTTAAACTGGAAAATAATGACTGCTTAAATAAAGTCAAGGTAAAGGAGCACCTGAAGTTTTTCTTTCTGATTAATTTTTTTGTGTGTGTGGCACTAAAATGCTTGGGTGGTTGAGTGTAATGTTTCCTTTAGAGATCATTAGGTACCAAAGCTTTTAGAGAACTTCGATGCAATGTGAATTTTGCCATTTTGGTAGCACTGACATGGTTCTTGCTTCCACCACTCCCATAGAACTATTAACTTCCATTCATACAAATTTTTGTTACAAATCTTACAAAATGGTATATTTACATCTACATTCTATTTTAAAGCCGTGTATTTGCTGTCCATCAAT